TTCAATTATTTGGCACAAACTTTGAATTAAATTTTGTCCAAAAAATTAATATTATAACCGACCCAACCCACACCCGCGCCCGGCACGGCCGGACGGACGGCAACAGTGGCACGCGCGTGTGTGGTGGTTTGGGCTAAGGTTCACTTTGTCCATAACTCCTCCCTTCTACAAACTTGGGGTGCCACTTGGGGCCCAACCCAACTGTTGTAGGCTAGAGTTTATATACACAAATAAACTCTCTTAAAGTTTCAATGTGGGACAACCCATTAAAAAGAAACCCACATGTAAATCTTTAAATGTCCATTCCTTGAACCCGAAAATGACGTCAACCTCCCATTCACTCATAAATGGTTTTGACGAACCGTCTTCACCGTGAGACTTGCCACGCGACAAGGAACACTTCACCTCTTCGGACCTACCCCAAAAGACGTTTGGGGCCCACTCAATTTTGGGCTCAAAGTCGGCCCAAAATAAGCCTATATAAACCAATTTTCCAACAAATCCCCCACATGAATGGAATTTGACAGAGAGAAAATGCAACAAGATGATCTAATTACAGAGAGTACAGAAATTAGAAATATTCTGCAAAGGATAAGTAGCTTTTGACTTTAAACCCTCCCTTATGAGACACTAACGGATTTACTAGCTAACCAGTGAACATGATGTCTTGAACTGTTCAGCTGTTTGTGTAAACCAAGACAATAGAACTCACACAGTATATCCCCAGACACAGTTTAGTTCTCACTATTGTGTTCATTTTGGCCCTGAACAACCTGGTCTTTCATGAGTGCTCTAAAGACTTGTAGCCCTTCACAAATCTTATAGAATCGGCCCAGTGCACACTCACATAGATGATTCTTATGAAGAGTATCTTGCTATACTCCACTAGGTTAACCTAGATATAAGAATCATTAAAATTTTACTTAACCTAAAACGCTGCAGACATCACTATTTCATCATAGAAAAGGGTAGGAGTTAGACTCCCCAGTGATCCTTCTGAGTCATTCATAACTCGGTTGTCCCTTTGAACCTAGATCTTGGGATCTCTAGTCAACTAGGTTGGGTTGCCGTTGTGGTAACTCTTATTTAATAGGCTTTAGTAACATTCCCCTTGATGAATTCTCAACTAACTCTCTTGCTAACCCTTTGGTTAGTGGATCCGCTATGTTGTCTTTGGACTTCACATAATCAGTGGAAATAATTCTATTAGAGAGTAGTTGTCTCGCGGTATTATGTCGACGGCGAATGTGCCGTGACTTACCGTTATACATATGACTCTGTGCTCTATCTATAGCTGATTGACTATCGCAATGTATGCATATAGCAGGCACTGGTTTGGGCCAAATTGGAATTTCTTCAAGGAAGTGGTGAAGCCATTCTGCTTCTTCCCCAGCTTTGTCTAAAGCTATGAATTCTGATTCCACGGTAGACCTAGCAATACAAGTCTGTTTGGAAGATTTCCACGATATAGCCGCCCCACCAAGAGTAAAGACATACCTACTGGTGGATATCCTTCAAGTACTGCTGGATATCTAGTATAATTAAGCCCAATGTTACGATTAAATCGGAGATATCTTAGAATCCTTATAATTGCTTTCCAGTGTTCTACTCCCGGATTACTCGTATATCTACTTAATTTACTTACTGCATAAGCTATATCTGGGCGAGTGTAGTTCATCAAGTACATTAAGCTTCCAATAATTTGGGCATACTCTAATTGAGAAATAATTTCATGTACATTCTTAGAAAGAAACAAATTAACATCCGCAGGTGTTCTAGCAAGATGATTATCATCTTTGCTAAATTTGTCAAGTATTTTCTCAATGTAATGAGATTGTGACAAAGCATATCCTTCTGATGTTTTGGTAATTTTCATACCAAGAATTACATCAGCAATGCCCATGTCCTTCATGTCAAAATGTTTATTCAACATTTTCTTGGTAGTTTTAATCATATCATTATTACTACCTATGATAAGCATATCATCTACATAAAAACATACAATGACATAACCTTTATCTGTGTTTTTAATATAAACACATTTGTCACACTCATTAATTTTAAATCCATTTGACATCATTGCCTTGTCAAATTTCTCATGCCATTGCTTTGGCGCTTGTTTTAAACCATATAATTGATTTAATCAATTTACACACTTTCTTTTCTTTTCCTGGAACAGAAAAACCTTCTGGTTGTTTGGTGGTCCGAGAATCGAGTAACATGCCCCTTTGAGTCACAAACATG